GTCTTGAGGAGTGCAAAGTAGTTGCTACCTGGGTGAGATTTGTTGTTGTTGTTGGTATAATGTGACATGGATGGGCCTTCTGACCTTGTCTACTGCCTCCAGTAGTTTCTCTACAATTCAGATTAGGGGAGTCAGGACAGAATTTCAAGGGTTAAAGTAGAAGCGAAGCTTTAGTCTCATGAGAGCTGACCTGCTTAGCCTGGTCTGTGGCCCATCTCTTCTGCCTGCCCCTTCCCTTAGGTGCTCAGACATCAACAGACCTGAGATGCCTTTACTTGCTTCCGTGAACTTCTTGGATATGTGGAATGGGAAAGCCATATGACCACAAGGTGGTTTTCCAGTTCTCTTCATCCTGCTGCTCAGTTCTGCCCTGATCCTATTGTTGTTCTCAGGGAAGCTGGCCTCCAGATTGGCCAGCGTAGTCAGCCAAAGACCCTTTCTGGTAGCAGAGGGGAAAGCCAGAGCTCTGGATTTCTGGCTCCCACATGGCACTGGTTGTTGTCACTCCTTGCTTGCCCTACAGTTTTCCCAGAAGCAGAGCGGAGAGTTCTCAATGGTGAACACATCTGTCTTTCAAAGCTGTGTCTAGGAAGCAGAGGCACTTGCCTCTTTTTGACAGAAGTGGCCCTTGTGCCAGAGAGAGCAGAGGGAAAACCACTTGGCTTTGCTGTTGCTAGGAAGCAGAAACATGTTTGATGTTTTGATTTTAGCAGTATTGGAGACTTGCCTTTTTAATAACACGAAGAGCTATAGGTATTTTGTACAATATTGAACGTGTACTTTTCTGGAAATGTGTCATTAAAGCAGAATTCTCTCATCAAATCCCTTTCTCTAGCAGTCATAAAAAAATAAAAAACTGGGATAGGAGAGTGTATGTATCAAAAGTTCAAAAGGGAAATGACAGTAGAACAGATGCTTGTAGGAGAAGCTTATTTCAGGGGTTTCTGTGGTCAGCAGCCCCCACAGCCATGGCCATATTAGGCAGTGGCCAGGGAGTGGGGACAGGGACAGAATTCATGTTCTTCAGGTATCCCTGTGCAGCTCCACAATCCTGTGAGCTGCCAAAGATTATCAGGCCATGCTCACCCACTCTTATGATTCACCAGATATTTACTGGACTACATGTTTGAGGCACTCTGGGTTGGATGAGCCAGACACAGTCCCTACTCCCAACAGAGAAAGAGGTGATTGCGGACAAAGGGTCTGTGCAGAGTGTGGGGGATGTGAGATCCAATAGGAGAGTGGCTACACTTTTGTGGGCCAGTGGGTGAGCTCCTCTGAGGAATTTGGACTGAGTCTGAAAGGATAGTTTTCAGATTTTCCCATGGAAAAGAAAAGGAAGCACATTTCAGGCAAGACCAGCAAGGTGTAAGGAAGCTGGAGGGTTGCTGAGACACTTCCTAAGACTTGGTGAATGAATGGATGGAGGAAAAAGGATGGAGTTAGAAAAGTCTATTGAAGTCTAGGTTGCAGGGACCTTGAATTTGATGCTAGGGACATTTGAACTTTCTCTTAGGTGGCCATTCAGAAGGCAGGAGTGAACTTGATCCTGATCTCAGGACACCTCTGAATCCTTGTTGGAGTTCAGGAGTGGTTTCCTGAATCTGATGGAGCTGAACACTCAACAGCACCATCTGAGAATCTTCTGTGATGACAGAAATGTTCTAAATCAACACTGTCCAACACAGTGTCCAGTGAACATTTGGTGTGAGGCTAGTGTGACTGAGGAACTGAATTTGTAATTTTATTTAATTATAATTAATTAATTTAATTTAAATAGCCATGTGTGGCCAGGGGTTACTATTTTAGGGCTTTGCAGGAGGCAGTGGTAGTAGATTGAAGGGGGAAAATGAGTGGCAAAATTTCCCCTGGAGAGGGATTGTCATCTATTGGATTTCAGGGAGGGAACTGACCCTGGTTCTGATACTGTTACTGTGCTGTGGAGGAAAGGGTTAAAACATGTCTTCAAGGAGTCCTTGAAACACCACACACATACATACACACACACACACACACACACACACACACACACACGGCAATAGCCAATGTGTGACAAAGTGTGGGCCTGCAGGGCACCAGCTCACTGGGACCTGCAATTGCTCTTGGCATCCTCTTGCCATCTGGCTGCACTGAGCAGCTGTGTGGACCATGTAGAGGAGGAGTCCTCCTGCACCTCTCAGCTGCTAGGAAAGATGCCAGGAGTAGGGCAGGTAAGTCAGGAAATCATTTCTAGATGCACTCAATAAAAGCTCCTGTGATGGAAAGTACGCTTTAAAGGAATTGCATAGGCCTGACCTCTTTGTAATTTTGTCAATTCCTTTATGGTGGAAATTCGAAGAGTAGGCAGGTGCCCTTTAGGTCTAGAGCTTCCTGGAAAACTCAGTCTTGACTGTAATGTGGTCTGTGCTTTCCCACTGGTGCAATGAGAGCTGTTTCTCTGACCAGTTCCACAGCTGGCAGAACATAATCAGGACAGAGCAATGTTGTGAAAGCAGAGACACCAAAGCTACACATTTTAATTACTAAACGTAGTTAAGTTTTTGCTACTTGTTCTATAAAATGAATATAAACTGATAATAGTGGTGCATACTGATTAAGGGACAATATACTTCCCCAAACACATAAAAATTTAGCTCCAATGTATCATAAATTATATTTTCTTCATGCTGAATTATTGTGTGATAAACACAAACTGAATAGTTGAATAACAATATTTTTGTCCCTTCCTGAAATCTGAAGTGCTTTTCAAGATGCTTTTATTTTTCTGTTAATGAATTCCTTTGTAACTAGCAAAAGCATGCATAATTATTCCATCATCTGTTTCATATGTCTGGATATCAAGTTCACAGCATCAAAGAAGAATGAGGTAGAAGTGTGAGGACAGCACAGAGTGAATCAAATTGAAGTCTATATCAGGAGGCCATGGATTGGACATTATTTAATAACTACAAACTATAAACAGATGTTTATAATTTTCCCCCACTCTTTAACTTTATTTTTCCCATTATAGTTCCTAAATTTTGATTTAAATATTAATATATTCTATTTGTTCCTTTTTGTTGTTTTAAAAATAAATTGTGTTGCGATATTTGGCAGGTTGGCTGTATTAAGTGTGTTTTAAAATATTTTTAGTTGTAGATGGACACAATGTGCTTGTTTTATTCATTTACATTTATGTGGTGCTAAGGATCAAAGTCAAAATTTAAAGTACAGTTTCTACTATATGTGTATTGCTTTCACACTGTTATAAAGTTGAAAAATTGTAAGTTGAACCATTAAAGTTGGGGGCTGTCTATGTTTCTAATGTTAAAAAAAATAAATAAATAAATTGTGTTATTTATCTTTTAAGAAGAGCAACATGTGCTGTTCATAGAAAATAGAAAATAGAGCTACAATTCCACCACCCAGAGTTGATCATCATGATCATATCTGTTTTCAGTTATTTTTGTTTTCTCTCTGTGATTACACAATGCTGAATTTTTGTTGTCCTGCTTTTCCCCCTATTAATTCCTCTTGAAGATTTCCTCATATTTTAGGCAAATATTTCCAAAACATCTTTGTGATAGCTATAGAGTTATCTGATCATACAAGTCACCTAAATTATCTAACTGGGCCCCAACTGTGAGCATTTAGGTTATTTCTTTTTTCTTTTTTAGCTTAAATTGCATAGTGATGAAAATTTCTGTATTTGAAGTCTTTGTCCACATGCTTTACTGTTTTCTTAGGTATAAAATATCTCCATCATATCATAAAAAACTTTCTTTGGATTATTCATAAATATTGTCAAAGTGTTCTCTAGAAAGTTCCTCTAATGCAATTATTATAAATATGGGTCTTAAGACCAGAAAAAAAATTGAATTCTATTCCTAATTTTGCAAAACTGGATCTGCCATTAGCCACGTGACCTTGGGCGGGATTCTGAACATCTCTGGCCTTCAGTTTCCCTATCTGTTAAATGAGACAGTAAAAATATCTGCCTCATCCCCTACTGCTGTATGGAGTAAAGGAGGCAATCTGTATAAAATGCTTGGCATAACAACGTGTTCAACCTAAGAGCCAACAGATTTTACCCTTCTGCCAGCAGAGAGAGTATGGATCTATCTACTTTTCCAGTTTGTCACAAACTCTGGGCATAGCTTTGTGTAAAAAATCATCAACTTGAAAAGTGAAAAAATAATATCTTAGAATTTTAAGTTCTGGGATGAAACACATCTTTCGTGTCTTTAAAATATGTAAAATCTTCAAGGAAAGAACTGGGTTTGACAAACATTATTTCCCCAAATGCTGTTTCTCTAGTCAGTGCAATGGAATAAGCTCTTTAGGTTTCAGAGTTGTTCCTGTTTTGTCTCTGTTAGTTCCTGCTTCCCAAGTCTATGCTCTGAGTGTCAGGATGTGATAATTTTGCAAGTGCACTTGGGATGATTGATCCTTGCATACTGTTTCTGCAGTTTGATTCTTGTTTGGAGCAGGTGCTGTGCCAACTACTACACAGAGCTAGCTGACCTCTTTCTACAATCAAGTGGGCACACATGTTCCACACAAAATGACAGCATATTGAATGGTGACTCTATTCTGAGAGACGCCTTTCCAATGGAGCAGTCACTAAGTCTATGTGGCTAAGTTAATTAAAATTAAATCACATTAGAAATTCAACTCCTCAGTTGCACTAGCCACATACAATGTGCTGAACAGCCAAATATGGATAGTGACCACTTCTTTGGACAGTAGAGGTCTTAGAACATTTATGTCATTGCACAAAGTTCTATCAGTCCTGCTCCAGAAGAAAGAAAACTTAATATCACATTACTCAGAGGTCCTCAGCACTAAGGCAGCATTCAGAATTTTTAATAAATATTTTAGGTATTTGACGCAGAAGTAACAACCTTTAATGGCCAATCAAGTCTTCCTGTCCATCTATCCAACCCTTTCTGCAAACCACATTTCAGTTTTTTGATGAGTTGATATTTTTGAATATTCTTTTCTCTCCATTGTTTCTCTAGGTCCTGTGTGACAGATATGTGTGAATGTCCAGTGCACAAAAACTGTTACTGTGAGTCATTCCTGGCATATACTCGGGCCTGCCAGAGAGAAGGCATCAAAGTCCACTGGGAGCCTCAGCAGAACTGTGCAGGTAACAAAGCCCTAGGGGATCCACCCTTCAGAAGTTTACCACAGTGCCCAAGATGGCAATGTAGAATTCTTGCAGATGTTGGTATGAATGGCTAGATCCTCTCTTGGCCAAAAGGAAATACCATTGGTGGCCCAACTGGATTGCTACTTGATAAAACACAGGGGGTTCCCACTGGGAAGCCAGCACTTAAGAGAAATGCTTTGTGACAAGCACATTTTAACAATTTAAGGATTTCCACTATTGCAACATCCTCTCAACCTCAGACTACCAGCTGGATGTACTTAGCACATGGGTAGTCATAACTGTAGCTTAGGTTATGCGTGATGCAAAGGAGATTTGGGGCAATTTGCAGTCATTTAAGGTCTTAAGGATAAACATGATGATTTTTTAAAGAGATTGTTATACACACCCTAGAAGAATATTTCTTTCTCTCAAAGAGACAGTTTTCTATAATAGTTGTTATTAGCTCTTTGTCCTCAGGCAACTTAATTAGCTTATTTCATATGTGTAAAATGGATACCTTTGTTCATCCAAGACATACTTGTTGCAAAGTGGTAAGTACTGGGCATTGTGCTAGACACCCTGGGTATTTTGATGACAATAGTGTTGAGGTCCCTGTCATTGAGATGCTGGCTGTCTTGTGGCAGAACCAGACAAAAACAATAACACTGAAGTAAATATTTACAAATCATAGTGAGTATAATGAGAGAAGCAAACAGGATAGTGTTATAGAAAATAAGTGGAGAGGGATAGAAGGCAAGTCAGATGAAGAGGGGAGGCTTCCAAGTACAGGGATGTTTCAGAGTAGCTCTAAGGGAGTCAGGGCAAACTTTCCATTCAAAAGAACCATGTTTGACAGCCAGAAGAGAGACAAAATGGCAATTTCTCAAACCGGAAGGAAGCCAGTGTGGCTGGAGCTTGGTGGGCAAGGGAAAGACGGGAATTGAGGTGGGCTGGGAGCAGGAGCTGAATTGTGCAGGGCTTTATAGATTTTGGAAAGCAGCCTAGCTTTTATTCTAAGAGTAGTGGAAGCCACTAATGAATTTTTAGCAAGTCTTTTTGTGTTTTTCAAAGATGATCCTGGCTATTGTGTAGATAATAGATTGGAGGGGGGCAAGCTTAAGAGCAGGTGACCAGGCAGGAGGCTGTTACAATAGTCCTGGTTTAAAAAAAAAAAACAAAACTGATGGCAGCTTGAATTAAGATAGTGGCAGTGCCCAACTAGGACAGAAGGGGAGATAGTCTGGACATATTTTGAAATTTTCCATAATTCTACTGTGTCAAAAGTCAAGCACTAGTGATGGGTACTTGAAGCATCTTGATGAGTGTCCAAGTCACAGAAGATGCTCTGTCACTGGCAGCTGCTGCTAATTCTGTTTGAAGGTGCTATGACTGAGTACTTGTCACCTAGTTCAAAGGTTGGAAAGCTTTTTTCCATATGGGGTCAGATATACCTAGAATGAAGAGACTGGAGTTTTTATCATTCTACAATACTCCTAATAGCCTTAACCGAGATCTTAGAAAAGATGGCAACTCATGCCTCTGCATGCTCCAGAATCTCCTCGTTGGTGGAAGGTAGGAGTGGTCATCTGGTTAAAAGAAGAATCATCTCAGAGCTGTGTTTACAGTGCTTAGACATCATATTCACTTAGGCCAGTACGTCTCAGCTTAGCTGGAATTGGAGTCACTCTGAGGACTTAAAAAACACACCAGAAGCCAATGCCTGGGCTGCATGCCCAAATAGCCTCTTCATTTGATGTTATGAACTTTAAAACTTCTCAGGTGCTTCTGACCTGCAGTCAGAGTTGAAAGCACTGAGTCCACTTGTGTGTTAACTTGGAGGAGGAGGAGGATGGTGGTTCCTGAAGTTTCCTCAGCTGCCCCTTGGTGCTGCCACTAGTTCATGACTTCTGAAAAGCACCAAAGCTTGTGGTCTCCCTCTGACATCCCTTTCAGCTTTGCCGTCACTTCTGCCAACCCAAGCTCAATTTACATCAGAGTTTACCTTCCACAGCAAAAGTTTCTCTCTATTAGTGCTGCTCCTCTCTGAGGACTATTGCTTTGATAAAAATAATTCACATGAAGGCATGGCTGAGGCTGCTGGAAGGCAAAGCAAATGGCTGACCTCTGACCTTTGGCATCAGCACTGAGCGCAGTATGTGAGGAGGATGTTTGTGAGGAATTGAATCTTTCCTGCCATCTTGAATTCTCCTAGCTCCCTTTATTTTGAATCCTCTTTCCCTTGAATCTACCACAAGATGACTAAGATAAATGGAGTCAAGCACCCACCCATCCATCCTGATGTAATGTAGAGCTCAGCAGAATTCTATTTATTTTATTAGCTGTGGTGGTACTGGGGTTAGATACAGGATATATGAACCTTCTCCTCCTGGCCCAGGGCTACACTTAGCACCATTTCAGTGCACACAGTGAATTTGAGGACTACACATTTCACGTCAACATCCTCATTTCAGGGACTGACTCTCTGGAGCTAAAATTGCTTTTTTAATGGAAAAAGAATATGGCCCCTCAAAGGTTCCATTTACCTCTCAAATTTAATGGAGCCATATGGGTAAAGTATAACTCCATCAATGTGCAGTTGGAGGACAACACTTTACACACACACATACGTGCACACACACATATGTATGCATATTATGGAATCCCACAGATTGATGATGGATACCTGGGGAAATAAATTTACAGAGACTCTCTCAGTAGATTTATTTCAGAACCATCTAGAATATTGAAGACTCTAAGAATACTGTTTACTTGTTTTAAGGTCTCAGGTTCTCTGACTCATGAAAGCACTTAATGCTACTTATGACAGACAAGAAAAATTTTCTAGAGTAAAAAGCTCGAAAGTTGAACAAGTAAGATGCCAACCAGGCAAGAAACTCTGAATTAAAAAGTGACATTTTAAAGGCTAGCCTGAATTTTAACACCATCATCACTTCTGACATGGCATATGCCCACTAACTGTGTCAAGAAGGACTAATGGAACTCTAATTTAGCTTTGGAATCACCAAATAAAATACAATGTGAAGGACTATAGTGAGGGTATATGAAAGTTTAATAATAATGATTTATATTGCTCTTTATTATTTTCTAAGTACGTCCTTTCCCCCAAGGAATTTACTAGCATGTTATATGATATTTTATCTTAATTCCATGCCCATAATAACCTATATGTTACCATTATATTACTCCAATTTTACTGATAAAGAAATCAAGACTTTGAATAGATCAAGAAAGCTGGAAATCAAACCCAGGTCAATTTCCATCATAACTTCAACATTTAATCATTAAAATTATTTAATTATTCTAACATAAAAGCAAGAATGATTAAATATTTAAATAATTAAATATTTCAGTATTCATATTTGTAGAAAAATATAAATACGAATGTATTTATGTATTTATATATACACCAACTAATTAATCCAAATTTTTGCTGCCTAGATCTTTATTAACTTTAGTAACTTTTCAATTTTTGTTCACTTGTTTCTTATCACTGGTAGGTGTTACTTGATACCTCTGTAGCTGTAAATTTGTTAGGATCTTGTCTCCTTTTGTCTAACATTACCATCCTTAGCAGAATTTCTGCCATTGCCTACAGCTGATGCTAATTATCACTGCACACCCAGTAATACATTTTATACATAGAAAAGGTGCTAGGAAAGCAGGTTTTTGTGTCTTTCTGCAGCACTGTGAATAGTCTGGGCTTCATGAGCAGTTTCTTCTTCTTTGTTTATCTCTGCAACCCCCAGATGATTCTAGCTCCTTCCCTGCAGCAACTCTGCCCTAGTTATATACACTGAGCTTTTTTTTTTTTTTTTTTTTTTTTTTTTGGCTGACTGGATGCCTCCTGTAAAAATAAGGGGATAAAGTTGGATACTGTAACCTTTAGCACCCAGCAGGGGACATAGAGACAGCTCATTCCAGAGGACACAGAGCTATGCTTATCTGACATACTGATAAGATCAGCATGTAATGTCTTTATGTGTTAATGTAGTTGTTGAAATGTCCTCTGGAGATTAAATGCTTGCTAACCCTAATACTTTGGCAGGCTCCTGATTTAAAATAAAAACAAAAACAATTTAGCCAAATGAATACTTTCAAAAGGCATGTGTGTGAACCAAATCACATTTATGTTTAAAAAATTTATCTTTTGCCTGTTATGTGACTTTGGGAAATAAGTGGATTCACTGAGGGCACAATGGGGTCTCAACTTAGTATTAACTTTGTACAGTCATATAAACATTGTGCCAATTGAAGGCAGATATGATGATGTCACTCCTCAGCTTAAATCCTTCCAAGACTTCCCTTTGCCAAGGTTTGTGGAGTCATTTGTGATCTCTGGACACTGTTGACTTCTCTGCCTTTATCTCCCAACACTCCCTCCTGTGCTTCCTCCTTTCCACCAATCCAGGGATCCTCCTTCCCTGAATCAGCCATCTCTGTCCTTTGTCCTTTCTCCTTATTCTTGCAGCTCTCTCCGCCTGGGAAGCTCTTCTGCATTGACTGTCTGACATGGTTCTGCTCATCTTACATGACCTGAGTGGGATCTGTTCTCTGCAGTCTTCCTCCATCCCTACCCATCTCTCAATGTTGGTTAATGTCGCTCTCTTTACCCTTCCACCGTCCATACCAGTTTCTCCTACTCAGTTATAAGCTCAGATTTCTTCAACTGGAGATCAGAGATACATCTTATTCCCATTCGATTCCCCCAGGCTTAAGAGAATGCCTGGCATCTGGCAGATGCTCATTTGATGCCTATTGATCTAATTTGAATTGAAATGGAGATGGGTGTTTATATATTGAGGGAGAATGCCCAAGAGAAAGATCTTTTTCTTTTTCTCTAGTAGTTCTTCATTTTCTACAGTTCATTTTCTACTTGTAGACTGTGAGGATGTATCAGTACTCAATATTATAAAGAGAAGGTATCATTGAAGAAGTTAAGTGGTAGAGCCAGAAGATTCAAGGAGTCAGAGAGAGAAGACATCAGAGAGTCAGGGTGAAAGAACAAACTCAGTGGGAAAGAAGAAATTCTGCTGAGAAGTCTTCCCAATAGAAGGGATCCTAGCAAGATCTGAACAGGAGAAAAGCATCTGGGGTGAGGTGAGCTGAAAGGGGTTCAGGAAGCAGCAAAGTGGAAAATGAACTTGAGTCCAGCCAAATGGAATCCATGCTGGGAAGCAGAGTGATGGATTGGACACCATTAAGATAAACTCATGATTCAATGTGTCTCCATTACACTGCTCTTCTATGCTTGGCCCAGTGCCAGAACTTTGAGTTATGGAAGATATGGACCCAGCTCTTAGCGGTTCACTATCTTCAACTGTGGCTGCTTATCACAGTGACCCCTGGAACCTTTTAAATCTATGACCACCTAGACCCCATGCAGACTCAGAGCAAAAATCTTGAGGGTTGGAGGTGAGGCATAGATATCTTTTAAAAGATCCTCAGGGGACTCTTATGAGTATTATTGATTAAGAAAGATATCTGCATTGCATCTGAGTGGTTAGAACAAATAAATGAATAACTATAATGTGAAAAATATTGTGGTGTGCAGAGGAGGGGGGCAGGAAGCTACTCAAAGGAGGTTACATTCAAATTAAGACAAAAATGATTTGATTGGGCAAAGAATTAGAGCTAATGATAATAAATTTCAGGGCTTTCAGATGGGATGTCAGAGACTGAACTGGAGGAGGGAAAAAGGAGAAGACACTAGGAAGTAATTTGAACATTTAGTGTCTGAGAGCAGGCAGAAAAAGCTAAGAAAAAGAAGGTGCTCTCAAAGAGTCAGTGAAGAACCAGGAGGACTTGATTTCATAAACAATAATAGGCAAAAAGACCAAATATTTTGCAAAGAGATCTTTGGAGAATGAGAGCTGTCAGTGTATCGGTGGACATGGTCATTTGTAAAAACTTTGGAGGAAACTGCTTCAATAAAGTGGTGGGTAAGGAAGACATGTTGTCAATCAGTTGCAGAAGAATAGGGCAAACTGACTATAAATTTTTTTTTCCCATAAGGATTGGAGGTGAAAGGAAGAAGAAAGGAAGGAATAGTTTTTGTTAAACAAAAAGGGGGAAGATTAATGTGCAAGCAGGACAAAGTTCTTGGAGGAGATGTGACACAAAATCTGAATCGTAAGCAGGGAGGGGCAAGAGAAGGAGAAGAGGCAGGAGGAGGGTATATTATAGATGTTCCTGTAGTTTAATTAAATCCAACCCTAAAAGAGAATGGGTGCTCTGGGGTGGAGGAAGTGCTTCAGTCAAGTGTGAGGTAGATAATGATGGGAATCAGTGGGGGCTTCCATGGTGCACCTACTTCTACTTTGGAAATATTATCTGTCCTCATGTATGCTAAAAAGGAACAAGTCTTTGAAGTGCCTGAAGCATGAATGTGAGGGCTTTTATAGGACAACAATTTTAATTCTGATAGCACATTAAAATCACCAGTGTATAGTGGTAGGGAAAACAGTGTCATTCACAGAGGTCAGTGTGGGTGCTGAGCACAAAGAGGACAGAGAGTGGATCCACAGGGACAAATTGAAGGTGTTCATTCCCTCTCTGCTGTGACAATTTCATGACTCATTCATTTACTCAACAAGTATTTATTGTTGGCCTTGTAATTCAGACTATCTAGGTGCTAGAGATATAGTGATAGACCTGGCAAAACTTCCTCCCTGAGCAAGCTTACATTCTAGTAGTCATACAGAAGACAAAAGAAATCATGATACTGTTGGGTAATGATTAGCATAAAGAAGAAAAAAAAAACAGAGAAAATGGGTAGAGAATTTTATTTTGTTTTCTTTTTGGGGCATGAAAAAAGACACCTCAAAAAATTGAGAGAATGAGTTAGGCATAGGAATCAATAAGGTTACATTTGAACTTTCAATATAGTTGACTGGTAATTAGCTACTAAAAACTCATCCCTCTGTTTGTGTATCAGACAGATGACCATGTCATTAATCTCTATTTACAAAGCATTTTGTAAAAAGGCCTCATTCAGAACCAATGCTTAGTGAGAGCCGATAGTTTAGACAACAATGATAACAATTGTGGTACGGATAAATAAATATGTGTTCAATATTTTTCAGAGAGAAAAAATATTAACTATACTGTCAACAATTTTCAAATTGGTTCCATTCAAATGTTTCTCAAAATTTTATGCTATCTACAGCTCAGTTTTCTAATAATAAGTAAAGATGCATGAGAGATCATTGATTACTCTTTGGACAGGAGGCCTCTTTTCTCATTTGGTTTTAAGTAGTCTAATGGATATCTGAGTAGCCTTCATAGAATTTACTTTATGGGTCTTTTTAACTTGCTGTTAATTAAAAATGTTCAAGCACCAATGTTTTGTGGTAACTCCAAACATATAATTTCCAAGACTCATTTGCTTGGAAATCAATTCTATTTATGGTTTCATTATTCTTTGCCAAATGTTATTCTGCACACTGCACAAACAACAATGGAGACATTTAAGCTGATGACAGTTGATCCTTGGTATTACTTTTATTTGGAGCAACTTCAAATGAAGATTGGATTGCCACTGGTGTTCATGGAGAGTCCCTGCTCTAAATTCCTACATGTGTCATAATTCCCTAGTGTTGAGAATGAGGGGCAGGTCCTTGGATTCTCTATAGAACTAACTCAGGTGGAAAAATCTCTATGTCATAAAACTTCCCAAAGGTTTGCATTATTGTTTTCTGACTAATCTATTCATGAATTTTCAGGATCTCTCAGAATATTGTTAAAACTATTTCAGCTCTGAGTTAACAAAGATAGCAAATTGGCTATGACTTGTCTACGTCGTTGTCAACATTTTTATATTCCCCAGCCCTGTCAGCCAGCTGCTGCTGCCCTTGCTGCGGTCACACATCTGATTTGTCTCTATTTGGCATTATCCAACTTTGGCTCAAGCTTGCCTGAAATTGACTCATTCCACACATGATCACTTTGATTAAAATATGTCACACATTTTCAATATCTTTGGTAGGCTTTTCCCCCCTTGTGCAATACCATAGATTTGAATATTGATGTAGTTGTACAAAACATTTTTATTAATCTCAGCTCAATAGCTGGAAAAACTATTTGGGGTTAATTTTTCATGGCATTTGCAATAACTAAATAACACTATAAAATTTTGTATAGCCTTACAGATTTATAGTTTGTCGTACTTAGGAATGAAAAGCTTTTGCTATTATCATTTTTTATTTTGAAGTTCATTGACCCAGGAGGTAGATCTTTGGGTTCATTTTCACAGGTCCAAGTGATTCCCAGAGTGTTTGAGGATAATTAGCTGCTCCTGTTCCCCTGTTAATATGCAAACCTAACCCTGGATAGTGGAAAGGAGTGTGCATTGACAGCCTGTAGGGATGGTCTCAGGCAAGGGTGAGTTAACATGTCCATTTCTCTCAATTATACCTTTGTTTCCTCTTTTTCAGCCACCCAGTGTAAGCATGGTGCCGTGTATGATACCTGTGGCCCCGGATGTTTCAAAACGTGTGACAACTGGAATGAGATTGGTCCATGCAATAAGCCGTGTGTGGCAGGTTGCCACTGTCCAGCAAACTTGGTTCTCCACAAGGGAAGGTGCATCAAACCAGTTCTTTGTCCTCAGCGGTGACCTCTGTTCCAGTCTTTAAGACTTTGAAATCTTGTGTCCTTGACACTGACATAGTAGAGCCAATGAAGGACTGCAGTATTTGTGTGCCTGATCCTGCAAATACACAGAGTATATATGTGTGTATATATATATATAGATAGATAGATAGATATATAGATATATTCAAAAACATTTCATCATTTATATAAACTATAGGTGGATTATTATATGTATATTTTTTGCTATAAAACATGTATTGTTTCTAGGATCCTAATCTGTAAGCCATTGGATACATTGTATAAATATACCAGGTGCTTTTAATTTAATAAGGCGGCATGCAGACTTATTGGATGGCTTTAACATCTCATACATTTGTCATTTTTAAGGACGTTTTCTAAGAACCATCGATTGCCTGCCTGCATTAATTTCAGCTTTGAGTCAGGATTTATAATTGAGTGAGAAATGTGTTTCTTTGGAGAAGAGTACGTTTATCTGGGGGCATTTCATGTTTCTAAGAAAGGAATGTATGCCGGAGAGAGATGGCAGGAGATTGGTAACAGGCCCTAATGGTGCATGCAAAGCAAGGGATGGGCTTTTAGACTTTACTGGGTCATGGTCTGATATTGTTTCCAAAATTGGCTAGTTGCCAGGAAATAAATATTTGTCACTAGGGCATAACCAAAGACTCAAGTAATTTCTTGCCATCTTTGCATATTCCTTGAGTCTCCTAATTATATATGTGTGTGTGATGGATGTGACCATTTATATGTCATGCATAGAGATTAAGGGGTATCTGGATAACATGTTAATTCTTTTGAGCATGAGGAGATATTTGGAGAAATTGTTGTGCAACATGCGAAGAATATCCATTTCTCTGAATCTCAAATTCAATGAGTAGATGTAGGCCATCGACATTTGTGACTATTCTGTGTATAAAATGAAAGCCTTTAACTATTTCTAAAGGATTCCTGTCCAATGCTATTTGATGACTATTAATATGTCATAATTATTATACAGGAAAAAAAATTATTGACCAGCTGATTTAACATCACTCCAAAGAATGGTCTATGTATTTGCTCTAATTTACTTATACATTACTACCAGTCACCATGTGATTTTTCCTGAGTTTTGTTTTTTGAATAAGTGAAAATGTCAATAAAAACAAAACCCACTTATGTCTAAAACTAAAATGTTCTCCATTATAGTAAATAAAGGGCTTAAGATTTAAACCAGTGTGCTTTCTCTTTCTAGATGTCCTGCACTGTACTTTATAAAGCTATATCAATACCAGCTTGGTCAATTTTTTAAAAAATAATTTTTGTTGTTGTAAATGGGCACAATTTTATTTATTTGTTTTTATGTGGTGCTAAGGATCAATCCCAGTATCTCATAAGTGCGAGGCAAGCGCTCTACCACTGAGCCACAATCCTAGCCCCTGGGTTGGTTAATGTTTAATAGTTTTATTTACATGTAATTTATACAACCCAAGTTAGCTTATTTTCATAAAGAGTATTATTAATAAATAATAGAAAACACTCAAGTTTTTGGTAGTTAGAGTATTACCCTCACTAATCAAAGACATGTGTATTCCATATATATATATATATATTCATAACAGCTAAGGCACTAATTTGGATTTTTTTATTGGAGCATTCCTAGTTGTTTGAGAAGACTGAAAAAAGTGCAGAGAGTGTAGTGATTGGCTAGGGCGTTGGCACTTTGGGTTTTATCACTGATTTGCTTAGGTTCTATCTACCCAATTGTCTGGGCCCAAGGAAGCCTGGTCCTTGCTTCAGTGCCACACTTGGAAACAGGACTTGCATTTAGGTGCTCTGGATTTCAGTTGTAGTTTGTTACCTTATACATGTTGTTGACACATTTGGGCTACACTTTTGATTATCTGTAATGTAAAGAGGCTGTGTGGCATAGTGGGAAGCAGGAGACCTGGACACCCACCTCGTTCCTGGCCACTAGTGAGCAAATGAAGCACTAATCAGAGGCCCCTAAGGCTTGCAAACTCTTTCCCACTTTTAATCTCATTTATTCTCTGCTTTCCTATGAAAGGAAAAGTTGACCTCTTCTGGCTGGTTTCTACCTTCTGTAAAAAGTACAGATTCTTTTAGGTTGACAATAAACCCCTTTCCAGTTCATCTGAGTTTTACTTATTAAAAGAGAGCTGCAGGAAGGAAATGATGCAGGAAAGAAAATTGTGGATGTTTATTTATTACTCATGATTCATCAGTGGACTGAGTGACTCTACCCAATAAGGCTAACCATCATCTTTCCCAACACTTGAATCATGGCCAACCATGGTGGATGGATGGTAAAGACTATTCTGGGGGGACTAATTCCATCATTTTGGGTGGCTTCATTATAAGCTTGTATGATATACCTTATCAGGGGTTAGCTTAACCTCTGTACATTTTTTAAAATTCCTAATGCAGGAAGAAATTTATAGAGGACAGAGAATCATTCAACCTGCCAATACTGTGGCAGCTGACCGATGGGGTGGCTGAGGGAATCAGTTGAGTGGTTATCTACATTGTCCGTTTTTGACCCAACTAAGCAATGACTATCTAAGGACTGATCATAGTGGAGACACTTCAATGACAGTGGACATGTTTTGTTCATATGGGATGTTCCCCAGACCTAACTCCTACAGACTTGAAACAAACAAAAAAAATATTCTACTTCTCCTTTTAATGTGCATAATCCTGGTTAACAGTTAGGTGGGCTTCATGGTATATATAGACTTCAAACACAGGCTAATACTGCTCTGTATATACAATCCCTACTCTGATCAAGCTATTAGCTGTGATTATTGAATTTGATGACAAACAAGCACTCTTGATGAAGCACAGGCAAAAATTACAATTCCAACTGGGACTCAGCCTAAGTAAATTCTCTCCCATCTCCCTGCGAAAGTAGGAATGTTTGCGCATCCTGACCTAAAGTTTTAAACTAGCAAAAAAAAAATGGCCCTTTGACCTTGATGATAGCAATTTTTATTAAAACAGTGGCAGATGGAGAATCACCCTCTTCCAGGGAAAGGTCTGGCCCACTCCTAATCCGCTGTTTCCTGAGCAGCTGAGCAGCAACCCTAGAGAGGACACCTCCCCAAAGAACAAGAAAGGCCAGTGGGTAAACTCTTTCCCAGCTTTTGCTACACATAAATAAACCATTTTGATGGGAAATCTCTTTCTCATTATGAAATCTTTGAGACATACGAAAAGGGATAAACAATAATGTAGCAAACACCCAGGAATACATTCCCCTAATTAAGAATAATAATCTGGCAGAAAGACAGGAAATTTTTCTCGAATAAATAAACAAAACCTGGTGAATATGAGGTTTTGGGATTGCAACGGTTCTGCGTGGAACATGTTGAGTTTGAGCCTTGCTGAGTTTCTGTTCCCATTGCCACTCTTTGTCACTCACATTCATCTGGATCTGACAAGTTATCAGGATGTGTGCTTGGGAAGTATGAGGTGAGAGAGATGGAGGCTGCCGTGGGGGACAGGCACCAGGACATTTTAATTAGCTCTCTCCTCAAACATAACTCTTAGGAACAAGCAAAAATAGACTCCAGTTCTAAATCCCAACAAACAGACCTTTTTGGGAACCAGGGTTTTAATTCTGGAAAAAAAAAAAAGGTAGTGTTCATGTGGTCTCGAAGGAATCAACAGGGAAAGTAAATTAATGCTCGTGATTATGCTAACCCTGAATTAGGAGTACAGGCATTTATTCCTGTAAGGAGATCTTTCTGGTTTTAGAGTCATGTCTCTGCCTTGGATTCAGCTAAACCATGCACGAGATCCATCTTTTGTGATTTCCTTTCAGATTAATTGTGAGCAAGCTAGCTTTGCAAAGGTGAATGTCGGGGAGCAGAGGGGGATTTATATAGAGAGAGGAGTCTTGAAAATTGGGAAGGGTATCCCAGGCAGAGGGAGATCAAAGTGCTGAGGCTGGGAACTGTTCTATACCTGGGCTGTGCCATGGGCTGTGTGGCATGAAGGGAAGTTTATGTACGATGATGTAGCTGTGAGATGTAGCTGGAGAGGGTGTCAGAGAGCTGGGGTCTTGGGGGAACTCTCAGTCATGCTAAGGATCCTGGGTTTTATTCTTTAGGGCAGTACTTCCTAACACTTTTTATGTTGTGGTGCATTCAGAAAACCACATCTGTCTGGGGACTGTGGTAAATAGACAGCTAGAGGCATACCTGTCTGTCCCAGGAGTGAAAGAAGTGACAGTATCCCTGTCACTCATTTCCTAACCATCTTCGCAGGGGCTGAGGTACTAGATAGAAAGGTCTTCTCAAGGGCAGATCTGCTAAAGAGGGTATCTCAGTGAGATTGCTGGCAGAAATGGAGATGGGATTTTTAGTCAAAAAGAGCTCATCATGTCTCACCTGGACATCTTAAGGGCCTCACAACAGAGAGGAAGGAGATAGAAAGGGAAGAACTTTGTGACCAATCTGATAGAGGATAAGTCAGTCGCTGGCTAGAGTGACTGGGTGGAGGTGGTGTCAATCTCCCACATGGGAGCATGGGTGGGGAGCAGATTGACAGTGATTTCTTTTGTCAACCAGAAGGTTTCCTCATAGGCTCTGTTTGGTTTAATTCAACAGTCATTCTGAATGTTAGGATTAAGACAAGGTCCTTCCTAGGACAATCACACTTTAGGAAGAATCATTTCTGGTAAACCAGAGAGGCATAGCTGGGAGCCCCAGGACACCCATTTTGAAGTTTTTGTTTGGGAATGTGTTAAGGAAAGCTTACCAGATAAAATGACTACTTAGATGAGTTTCAGTAGCCTAAATAGACTTTACCTAAGCAAAGGTGTGTGTGTGTGTGTGTCTGTGTGTTGGAAGGGATGGAACATGCCCGGGCATTTAAGGCACAGGGACCTATGTGGATAAGAAGGGACACTGGCAGATAGCACAGATGTACAGGGAACGGTGGGCTTTTGACATTGCTGGGATATGAAAAGATTTACAGAGATTTTGAGCTATGGCAATTCAACTCATCACCCTGAAAGGTCTCTGCAAACCTCCCTTGATTTCTAGTGGATTATGCACAAACAGGGCTTGAAGCATTTTTTTTTATAAGCCTCTTTGCCTACTGTCCCAAGGGGGCTTCAGTTTTCTTGATCTGTGTTCTGAACATCTGGGGAGGGAAGGTAGAGGGAGAAGGCTTTGAGCTAGTGTTTCTTCTGACTTTCCGTGTCCTGCGTGTGGTGTGGAGTACCTTGCGGACCCTTAGCATGGTGTGCTGAGAGAGCACTGAGCCAACGTGCACACATCTCACGCTGCTTTCTTGACTTGCTCAGCTATGGGCTGCTGGATAGTAGATTCTTAGAGTCCAAACAGCTGGTCCTAATAGTGTCACCAGCTCTCGTCACACCTGTGGGTAAAAGACTTGGAATCACAGCTCACCCAAAGTTCTGTCAAACAATTCTGTCCTTTTCTAGGCACTTGTTTCATAACCCATCTTGGGCCTGAAAAGCTTACATAAGCTGCCTTTCTGCTTCCTCTCCCTGGAACTGGGCTTATTAAGTAATTCCCCCGGCAGGTCATCCGGGAGCAGAATTTGGAGTTTTAGGAAATGTTCTCAGTATGAAAAAGTTTCACTTTGGCTCCAAGAATATAAATACCATTTGTTACACTGTCATTTGCACCACGTTCCTATGTGTAATTTAAAGAATTGGATCCCGAACAGCTCCTTTTGATGTTTAAATGGGTGTTAAGGGAGCAGACAGAGGCAGGAGGCTGGCCAATGGCCCTCCCTGTGCGGAGCCGGCTGTGTGGTGATGTGAGTCTGTGATGTGATGTGCTCTTCCCCAATCCTGCAAACACTTCTGTGAAGAAGGCAATTCAAAGGATCCTCTCCACTCAGTATGAATTCCCATTCTGCAAACTCTTGAAGACAGTCAGACCTGGGGGACCCTCTTACTAACCTTGTTTGCTCACTTCACTTGTTCTCAGAACTAACTGGCTGTGATAAGAACACAAAAGCTGGAAGGAGGAGAGCTGATTAAAAGAGAGGTTTATCCACAACATCTGCCACTCCAAACACATCCCTAAAACCTTTGGGAGGACATAGGACAGACTGTTTGATCACAATGGAAAGCATTCTCCATTTTTTTCCCCAGTGCTAGGGATGATGGAACGCAGGCCCTTATGCATGCTAGGCATGTACTGTACCACGGAGCTGCATAAGTGTACACATGT